GGCCTTTTGTTGAGGTGAGGGCCAATCTTATCTCTCTACGGATGACGTTCCATGGGGGCGGGGGGGGGAGCCACCAGAGAGAAGACCCTTCGTCTTGGCCCCACTTGATGGACCTCCTTGAGAGAGGAAACTCGTAACGCGCCTCCCCATTCTGGTGGGTTGGATATATCTGGGAAGCTGATCAAGGAGAGATTCGATCTAGAAACGAGGAGAAATTTTCTGACAGTGAGAACAATCAAGCGATGGGACAGAAGTTGTGAATGCTCCAACACTGGGCCTTTTTAAGAACGTCCATTTGTCTGGGTTTCCTGCCTAAGCAGAGGGTTGGACTAGAAGACCTCCAAAGTAGAATAGAATAGAATAACAACTCTGTTATTTTTGCAAAGAAAAAAAAAGAGCATGCAGAGGGTTTGGGAGGCTTGTAGAGTGGATCTGGGGCCTTGGGGGGGGGGGGCAAAAACAGTCTGTTTTTTGCTCATTTTTGCCCTCCCCAGCCCCCAGGAGCACTTTGCAAGCCTCCCAAACCCTCTGCATGTCCATTTTTGCAAAGGGGATGGGGTTTTGGTGGGCCAAAAATGCTGCATTCAGTGTATAAAACGCACCTAGATTTTCATCCCCTTTTTTTGGGGGGGGGGGGTCTTATACTCTGAAAAATACGGTGATTCTTGCATTGCCATGAAGCTGGGCGTCTTGTTATATTGCCTTTCCAGTTTCTTCCCAAATGTGATTATTTTTTTCCCCCACGGTGCCTCTGATTAACGTCTTTTGCAGTCAAGTCTGCGTATCTCACCTCCTCTGCCATTCCTGCCCATCGGAGGCATAACCAGAGATTCCTTGAATGGAGCAGGGTCTCGCCTGGATCAAGAGCAGGCTGCCTTGGCTGCGGTCACCTCCTCCACCTCTGGCGCCTTGTCCAAGCAGTGGCCTGGGGCCTCTTCCTGGCCATCCTGGAACATCACGGACGCTCCGGAGGACCCCTTCAGCATCGAAAGAGAAGCCAGGCTCCACAAGCAAGCAGCAGGTGAGCCGAGCCTTGGCGCTGTGGGAGGGTGACCAAGAGAGGCAGGTAAGAATTCCACCATTGCCCCCACCTCATAGGTAAAACTTCTCTGTGGCTTTTGTCTCCAGCTGTGAATGAGGCAACCTGCACTTGGAGTGGGCAGCTCCCACCTAGAAACTACAAAAACCCTGTTTACTCCTGCAAGGTGTTTTTAGGAGGTGTTCCCTGGGACATCACAGAAGGTGAGTTCCTGACAGCTCTTGTGTTGTTGTTGTTGTTGTTAGTTGCGAAGTTGCGTCCGATCCATCGTGACTCCATGGACAATGTTCCTCCAAGCCTTCCTGTCCTCTCCCATCCTCTGGAGTCCATTTAAGCTCATGCCGACTGCTTCAGTGGCTCCATCCAGCCACCTCATTCTCTGTCGTCCCCTCCTTCTTTTGCCCTCCATNGAGAACCGGTTGTTGGAAGAAATCTCATTTTGTTTTTTCCCCACTTTACAGGGCTAATCCCGTAAGGAAGGCAGGAAGGAAACATTCTGGTGTTGTTTCTAGCCGAATCTTTATTGCCCTGATTACAGAAACCGCCTCTCCGGTTAACCCTTATTACATTGTAACAGCTGAGGCGAAGCGCCCATCGACATGAGTGACATAGAGTTGGCCGCGCCCACCCAGTCACATGACCACCGAGCCACGCCCACCCAGCTGGTCATTAGGGCAGAGAACCGGTTGTTGAATTATTTGAATCCCACCACTGGAACTCGTGGGCACGTCGCTCTCCTCAAAGGCTTGAAGCACAAGTATTCCACCGAGGGCAGATGCCCTGCTGGCCGGTTAAAAATCCCCCTGCTCAATCCAGATTTCATAGGAGAGCAGGCAAAATTTAGTATAATTTTTTCTTTTTGGTGAAAAAAATCCATTTAAAGACAATTATTGCTATTATAAGGAAAAGAGCTCAATTCTCACATCCAGTCCTGGTTAGACTGAGTTTAAAACTGGGAGCAGCAAGCAGTGCACGATGACATCACAGATTGTAGTCCAATTGGAACGCAGCCTGGCTGCTTTCTCCGCTGCCCAGAGAACGGGGGTCTCGGGTAAGAACCAACGCCCATTTTGTTGGCCACCGTGATCTTAGGATGCTTCCGAAGTTGGCAGTCATGAAAATAGAGGTAGCCTTCGACTTAACGACCACAATCGAGCCCCAGATCTTCGTGGCTAAGCGAAACGTTTGTTCAGCGAATTTGGCCTCGTTTTACGACCTCCTGCGCCACGGTTGTTAAGTGAATTGCGGCTGTTGTTAAGCTGGTTAATAAGGTGGTTAAGTGAACCTGGCTTGTCAGGAAGTCGCAAAAGGGGATCCCGTGACCCTGGGAACATTGCATAAATACGAGTCAGTGGCCAATTTTATGGATTTTGATCACGTGAACGTATGTGGCAGTCTCCGTTGTCAAAAGTGGTCGTAAATCACTTTTTTCCCAGTGCCGTTGCAACTTTGAATGCTCACGAAATGAACTGTGGTAAGCCAAAGACTACTTTGACTGGAAATTAATTCTCATAACATCAGCTAAGAAGGATGTCACTGTTGATATCCTTAATCCATGATTTGATTCCAGAATAAATAAGAGCGTTTGCCTTGTTTACTGCATGTTGTGCAAACAGCTTCTAGCCTGCTTGGATCTTCTCATCCCTGGTCATCCAAGATCCAAGTTCTTAAGCTGGATGTTTTATGAAGACGGGGAGACAAATATAAGAAACGCCCGTCTGAAATCATGAGGGCTAGAAACCGTCTTTTTTGAAAGGTCAAATTTAAACCCTCTGACTGTGTAGATGAGAGTGGCATCTCCTCTCTTCTTTAGCCCAACATGGTGCAAGGAGGTTTTGTGAATTATTTTTGCCCTGGAATCTTTTTGTGTGTGTCAGTCGAACACGCCTGTGTCAACCTCTTTGTTAGAGAAACATGGACGGGGAGTATGTGTGTGTGTGTGTATTTTTCTTTCAAACGAAGCTGCACAAGCTCCTGGCTGTGATACACAGCCTTTAGTGTATGCCTGGTGATTGGTCCGTGTGATTGTAGAAAAGACAGTGTTGTGTAGGAGGGCATGCGCGAGGTTTTTTTCCCCAGTGTGGGAGGGGACCGGCTGTAAAAGAGATTTTATCCATCAGCTTCCAAAGATTTTCTAAGCTGAAGTCAAAGAATTCAGGATGGTGGCTTGCGGTTTACAGCGTTAACAGGTGACTGCTGAAACCAGTGGTTTGCAGTAAACTAGGTTTAGACTAACAAATGAGGAAATGTAAGATACCAATGGCAGGCCAGGCAGATTAGTGGATGGAAGTGCATCAGGTATCCTGGGGTTCTCAAGGCAAATACAAGTATTCCTCAATTAGAAAGCCACTTATCTGAAATAGTATAGGATCTCCTGCTTGAGCAGGGGCTGGACTAGAAGACTTCCAAGGTCCCTTCCTGCTTATTCTATTCTATTCTATTCTATTTTCTTTTCTATTCTTTTCTATTCTATTTTCTATTCAATTCTATTTTATTTTCTATTCTAATCTATTCTGTTCTGTTCTATTCTTTTCTATTTTCTTTTCTATTCTATTTTCTATTCTATTCTATTTTCTATTCTATTTTCTATTCTACTTTCTTTTCTATTTATTTTCTTTTCTATTTTCTTTTCTATTTTCTTTTCTATTCTATTTTCTATTCTATTCTATTTTCTATTCTATTTTCTATTCTACTTTCTTTTC